TTTTTTTTTTTTTTGTTCATGCATTTCTAATGTCTCTGTCTTTTATGGTTTTGCTTGTTATGAAGATGGAATGTTCTCCGGTGCCAGAATGTGAACAGCAGGAAACCAGTATCTCTTGTTGTTGGTATATATATTTCTGTTCTTTGGTGAGCAGAGCAATTTCATCGAATTAGTTTCACCTAACTGAAAATACAAAAAATAATAAGTAAATCGTATTTACATCAATAATAAAAAAGCAAATGGAGTGGGAGATTTACAGATGGATTGGTGTGATTTCTCCAGTGATGTGAGATACAGATCTGTTGTAGTAAAGAAAGCTGAGTCAAGTTCCTACCCTCATCCTCGGTCATAAGTTCTGGATACAGGCTGACAGTTAGAAATTGTGGACACAGCCAGTGAAAATGAGCTGCTTCTGAGGGATGTGTGGAGTCTTGGAGATGAGGTGAGGAGGGAGTTGGAGGAGAGCTGCTATTCCTCTATATTGATTTGAAGGTTTAGGGTGGTTCAGGGATCTGCCCAGGACCCCTTCCTGGGCACTGCCTTTGGTCTTGTCCTACCAGGAGGTGGTCCTGGGGCAGACCTAAGAAAAACTAGGGAGATTATCTCTCGGATGACATGTCTGTGTCCTCTGGAAAAGCTGGAGGAAGTGGCCAGAGAGAAGTTTAGAAGATAATATTTACTGTGTAGACTGAGTTTTCAGCTATTGACATATCAATGAACTTCTCTCATCACCACTGTATGAGAAGGAATATAAAATGCATTTGAATGAATGTTAAATGTAAAGAAATATTGTACAGCTTTACAAAGATTTACACCCGCACCTTTTTATTGTAACTGGCTGGAAATGGCTAACTGTCTCGATGCATACTCACTGAAAACGCTAAATCCAGATGAACAGAGTCAACTTTTTGGAAAGCACTAACTGTGATTAGGTTAAAGAAGGAAGTGGATGCTCGTTAAATCCACTATCCAGGTTAAGTGGCAGTGTACCAGCTTTAGTCTGTTATAAATATGTTACTCTTGATTCTCATTGTACTGTCTCTCTGAGGTACAGTGAGGTTATTGTGAGGAGATTTGACCTCCTGGCAAATCACTGCCCTCACTATAATAAAGCAGAATTTTTCCCATGCTTCTTCTCAGCTGACTAAAGTCTTAGTCTTATGATCTTCTCTCTAAATATGCCACATTTAGCCATGAGGCAGACAGACACTAGACTACAATACACTATGTACCTGAATGATTTACACAATTAGGAATTTCACATGAAAAACACATTTATTGAGTGTTCAGTAGTTCACAGGTAGTCGTAATAATATGAAAAAGATGAAGGCTTTTGGTATAGGATTGTGAAATTGTTTTTTTTTTTTAATTGTTTTTTGTAGGACATATTGCTATGCAAGCTAAATTCACAAGTGTTTATGATGCTGGATGACCAGACCAAACTGGAACTTTGGAAATATTGAAGTTCCTGGTTTATGGTGGGGCTTCAAAGTGGCTTTTGAGCAGATAAAAACAAAAAAAACAAAACATTACAGTCCACTTGGAAAATAAATATTTATGTTCACTGTACAAAGTAGTTGGTCGGATATCATCCTTGAGGGATGCCCTTATCAATGTCCTGGGAACATAATTTGAAACCAACAACAATTGGTTTAAAAAAACAAAACCACAGAAAGCAACTCATTTAACATGTTATGGCTAAAGCTTCAGAAGCCTTGAGTCAAGTGAGGTAACAATAGCAGTCACTGTGCCAACAACCAATCTAAAAGCTTGACTGCTGTGGCTAAAGTACAGTATTATCCTCCAGGAAGCCATGTAGTGGTGAATTGGCCAGGCATTTAATTAGTGTAGATTTTGACATTACTTAAATTTTTATGTTACTAAAAGACAAAAGTGTGATGGGTGCAAACTAAAGGACAGAAACTAATCACTGCTGCCAGTATGACATTGGCTATTTGCAAACATCTGCATAGACAGTGAAGGTTCAATAAGCAATTGGTCTGTCAAACCCAAACAAGCAGCCAGAGCCTGCACCGTCGCAGCAATTGTTTCTAACCATTCCAGTTTCTGCATTTTTCTACTTTTACTGTTGTTGTTAATGGAGGCACTGCAAAAATACGAGACAAATATGAGGTACAGTCAGTCTGTGGGCTCTCTGTGCTGTTGTTGGTCAGGCAGCCTCGAAGAAATGTGAAGTTATAAAAAGAGCTGAATTGCAACAGAGTTGAACACTGTAGTGTCCACTGCAGGTTTTTAGAACCTTTATGAACCAAAAGGAAGTCTCGTCACCTTCTTTTCAAGCACTCAGGTTTATATTGTCTACTGATAATCATGTGACGATGCATGTGAGGTAATTTATGAAGTAATAAAAAAGCCAAATAACGAATGGTATGACTAATTACTTTCACCAGGGGATAAATAAGTATTGCATAGTGCATTAAATTCTTTAAAAAAAACAAATAATTAAAAAATAACAATTAATTTGTAGTGTTTTTATTTATTTATGACGCCAACACTGGTCAAAGCTTGTCCAATATAGAGTTTTGTTCACTTACCATTTTGGGTAAGTAAACAAAACTTTGTTTTACTTGGTCTTTGTGACTGGTTTGGTTTAGAAAAGGTTAATTATGTCCCTCCTTAAAATTAAGCCTGTATGTTGAACGATGGATCTTATTGTCTTCTTTTGCCTGGTTCCTTTAGGGTTTGCCACACTCGACCATCTGCATCCATGTCACTATCGCAGCAGCATCCTCTGTCACACCAACTCTCTGCATGTCGTCCTTTACTATATGTCCATGATTTTTTCTTTGTCATCTGCCTCCTGCCTGTCAGCAGCATCTTCAAAATCCTTATTTAAATTATGTAAATGCGACGCCAAAGGGTTCCTTACAAGGGTTTGTATTGTGGTGCCACTGGTTTTGACATGCTTAACTCCCGTTTAATTGACAGCAAACTCATTGACTGTTTTCAGCTAAAACTGCATTAAATGAAAATAGTCTGTAAAATATATAAAGTGTGTGCTTGCCTTTTTTTTTTCTTTCTTTTTTCTTTTTTGCACTCTTACACCATTTCTTCTTTTCTTAAATATTTTCCCACTTAGCTATGTTCTCACACAAAGTTACTATTTTCCCAGAAAGCCTGGTCTGGACAGTCCCATGATCCCCACCACCATAATTCAACATGACAGTTGGTGTTTGCATGTGTGTGTGGTTGTACTGCCATCTCCTTGTTCTGTTCCTCAGCTTATTTGTTGGCTTCCTTGTTTCTCGCTTATTTCCTTTTTTCTGGCTTGGTTTTTATCACAGACAAACTGAATACCCATGGAAGCTGAAACCTTGGGATTTGGTGTGTGGGTCTGTGCGTGATCGTGTGACTCTGTCTGTTTTCTGCAGGTTTATTGCGGTCATCACTATGACTGATGGGGATTATGACTTCCTTATAAAGCTCCTTGCCCTGGGGGACTCCGGTGTGGGGAAGACCACGTTCCTGTACAGATATACAGACAACAAGTTCAACCCCAAGTTCATCACCACAGTCGGCATCGACTTCAGGGAAAAGAGAGTGGTGAGTTCTTACCTTTTATTATTCTTACGAACAAATGTGCACCCTGTGTGTAGCTTGTAGAAGTTTCTTTTTGATTGTGTAGTTTTACACAACATTTAATCCATCTTCATCTCAAGTTAGCAGCCACTTTGGTTACCATAGTTACAGTTTCATTTGTCCAGAGCTTTTAGTTATCAAAGAACAAACAGCGGGTCAGGTCAAGCCCAGGTTTTCTGCTGCTTTTCTCCCACAGTGGCTGCTGAGCTGAGTCACTCTACAGTCATGTTATTTTAACTTATGCAAGGAAAACAAACTTGGGTCAGATTCAGCCGGGAATAGATGACCCGGAATAAATTACCCGTGAAAAGATGGTCGTTAACTAGTTAGCGTCTAACATAATTGCTGTGGTATTTATAAATGAAGGCTTTCCAAATAAAGCATTTAGCTCTCAAAGTGGGGGCTTACTTGTGCTTGCTAGTTTCCAAAGATTGAGCCCAAGTTTGGGGAGATGTCCTCTTTACTTTTAAAACTAAGCTTCCTTTTTGATAGTTATGTGAGGGCTGGATCAAGTGACCCTGAAGCACCTGCTGGAGGCTCAGGTGGCTTGGGGACTTTCTAGGATGCGCTGGGCAGGGTGTTTGGGTGATGCACTCATCTGATAGCTATAAAACATATGCTGCCAGATAACAAAGGGCACTATGAGAGATTATCAGCTGTCAGCAGACAAAGGTTCAGGAGCTAATTGGGTAGGGATGGTTATGTTATCATATACGTTTTTTTTTCTTTTTCTTTTTACTCTACCATGTGCCAAGTTGCAGTAGTGGTTTCTAATAGAAGTTCATTCAGGCAGACATGAAAAATGTAGCCAGTGTGCTTTAAAACCTGCATTCCTTCTGATAACCACCAGATGAGTCATCTGGTTGAACAAATAAGTCTGGTTGTATATGGTGTTAAGTTTATGGTGTTAATCGATCAATCGATTTCGGGTCTTATTGAACATAATATAATGATCATTTAGACTGAAAACCTGGGGTTATACATGGTGTGCTTTAGCATTGGCCTACCTCGTGATTGACAAACAGCCCTTCTTTGAGTTTGTGGTGTGAGGGTTTTTCACAGTCAGATACAGTCCTTGCTCTGGTCTTCAAAACAACAAGAATGCAAAAATGCACAGCTTAAAAACAGATTCACAGTTTGACTTCTCAAACCAGTGGGTAACCAATGATCTATCGTTAAACGTGAGCAAACTTTTAAATAATGCGAATGCAGAAAAAAAAGTATCTTTCAGTTTTTTGTCCACCACAGAGGACATAATGAATAGGCTGGGTCTAAGGATCCTTAACAGTGACGGGAACACTCTCTGGTTGTAAGCATAGATGCCCAACCTACTTCCTGTTCTGGCAGCCAATAAGAAAAAAAGCTGGCTTAAAGTTAGGGGAAAAATGGCTAAAACAGTTTGTTTCATACATAAAACTTCTGAGGCTGTATAGCAAAGGATTAGTTTGAACAGAAAATTATGCAAAGCGTAATAGATCTTCTTTAAGGTCTTTCATAGATATGGCACTAAGAATAGCAATATTTGCTTAATACGACATATCACAATTAACATATTGTAATATTTAAATACTACTTTATACTTTAAATACTGTTATTTATTAGCACATAATTAGTATAGTTAAACCCTTAAGTGAGGAGGTTCATTGTAAACAGCTGTTAATCATTAGCATCATTAGCATTAGCATTCATTAAGGCTGGTGTTTAGTTTAAATCATCACTATGTTCAACTACAGCCTCAGAGAGCTGCTAACACGGCTGCGGACTATCCGTTTAATTTCCGGACCACCTAATTCCCCAATCTAATTTGCAAAATTATATTATTTTAATCCACTAAATAGCTGCCTTGTAAAACTGTTGTTAGAAAAAAGCCCTCTTTCTGATCACTTTCTGCTAATGTTAAGAGCTAGTTTACTTCTGCACTTAAAGTACTTTGTACAAGTTGATCCTTACACCACACACACTGACAGAACCAGTAACGTTATAGTGACAGAACATGGTGACAGTTCTAAATAAGATGCTTTTCTCCAGAGCTGACACTCATGGACCCCAAGAAATATGACGGTGACATGTCTTGACAAGTTGACAGTCTTTTAAAAATTGTTTTAGGCTTGAAAGATGGCTGATGAGACAGAAGCAATTTATTGCCATGTTTGGACAGACAGTGAAGGAGATGTTGTTTTGGGTAAATGATGAATGACAGGTTGCAGAGCTCCTTGTTGCTCTAGAGGCAGAAGACTTTTTTTTTATTTTTATGAGTTTATTCCTGTGTTGCTGTTGTTTCTCTTTTAATGCCGCAGGACCAATCGCTCATGCTATATTCCAGAAATGTGTTGTATTAAAATCCTTTTATAAACTTGATCATATAATATAAGCTTCAAACTTGATTCTGTGTAGAGTTCCACTTTAAACTTCACCTGAGACTTGATAAAAGTTTCTATACTTGACCATCGAAATGAGTACGTGCAAATATCTCACTGTGAATGCTCTTATCTGAATCAAAGAGTGGGCGAAGCTTGGTTTGGTCACTTTGGTGCCCTGCTGCCTTTGCAGGTCTGAAATACAGACAATGCAAACATCAAAACAAAACTAGCAGGGTACTAGTCATTATGAAACTCACATTACCGACTGTTTTAGTGCTCGATTATTATCTCAGAAATCTGACTTGTAACCATAGTAGCCACTGTTCAGCGCATCTTTCATAGGCCTTAAATTAAACAAACAAATGAAGACTAGAAACTGTTGATGTAAGGAGGAATTTGGCTTTGGGGTAGTATAATTGCACATCTTTCAGCCCAAAGACATAAGGTTGACCCCTGTTTGGTATGGCTATTTATAGACTTTAGCCTCATTTCGACTTGTCTGGTGTGAGATGATATGAAAAATGAAATGTCACAGCAGAAATTGAGATTCATCACAACAGGCAAATATGACTTGTATTGAGTGCTCAGAGATGCTCTTCTGTGTACTTTGTTTGTAACTAGTTATTATTTGAGTTACTGTTGTCTTCCAGTGAACTTGGAGCAGTCTGGCCATTCTTATCCATCCTCTGAATGGTTAGGGCATGTTGTAAAATCGTGCCAATGGGATACCTAGTGAGCTAAAATGTGCTGCTCATGCGTCAGCATGTGACAAGTTGAATGAGAACTACAACTGAATCTGGCACTATGTGTTCTTGACTATGGCTAGATGGATTTAAGCCATGTAATTAAAAAAAAACACACACACACACAACAAAGCGGTCATCATTCTTTCATTTCAATGCATCTATTGGAGCAGGCTAGTCGGTATGACAGCAAAGCAACACTATGCTGTTAAACAAAGGTACAGCACCATGCATGTTTCTGGTGTTTAGCTCACGACTTTATAAGAAGTAGGTTCAATAAATAGTACCTTGATAACTTTCCACAGTGTAAAGAAAACAGAAACTTTGACGTGTCTGTTATCCAAATTGACTTCCTCGATCAGAGTGCATGTCTTTTCATGTCACCCCATCTGAGCTGAAGGTCAGTTATCACCTTGAAAAATGAAAGAACACCATAAAGTCAAATATAACAGTTTCAAACATGATCTGTATAAACTCAGTCTAAAAAGGGTGTCAGAAAATGTGACAGTGTGTCACATTAGGGAGAATCAGAGGTGTGAATGATGCCTGAAGCTTCCTGTGGTGACAGGAACATAACCAGCCAGCTGCTGCAAACAAGTTTTCATCATTACCCAGTCAGGATCACTGTCCACATGAGTTTTCATCATACCTGATGAAATATTCACTAAAGCAGGAGTGAGGTGAATAAATGGAGGCGGGGTATGTAAGGTGGTGAATAGTTCTTCAAATACAAATGAAAAGATCCCAAAGTTAAACTAATGTTTTTTTTATTTCATTGTATTTATATTATGTATTTTGTAACATAAACTAACTGTGGTGTATCACATCTTTGGAAAGCTGAGTTTAATTTCTCTAGCCACACCCAGGCCTGATTACTGCCACACTTGTTCTCAATCAATAAATCCCTTAAACTTGACCTGCCTGACAAAGTGGACCATCAAAATCCTCAAGATCCTCAAAAGACAGATGTCACGCCGCGTTTCAAAGAAATTCAGGAACAAATGAACAACAAAGTAATTGAGATCTCTCAGTCTGGAAAAGGTTAAAGCCATTTCTAAAGCTGTGGGACTCCAGCAAACCGCAGTGAGAGCCATTATCCACAAATCGTGAAAACATGAAACGGTAGCACACCTTTGCAGGAGTGGGGCCGACCAAAATTACTCCAAGACAGCAGCGACAACTCATCCAAAAGGTCACAAAAGACCCCAGAACAACATCCAAAAAATAAAGGCTCTTCTCAGATTTGCCAGAAAACATCCTGATGATCCCCAAAACCTTTGGAAAAAATAAAAAAAACTCTGTGGAAAGTCAGTAAGACAGTAAAATATGGTGGTGGTAGTGTGATGGGGGCATTTTGCTGCCTCAGGTCCTAGAAGACTTGCTGCAGTAAATGGAACCATGAATTCTGATGTCTACCAAACATCCCAAAGGAGAATATCAGTTTTGCAAAATAGTAATAAAAAAACAAGAAATCAGGAAGGGGGCAAAGACTTTTTCACACCACTGTAGATTAGTAACTTTGACTGATCTAACTCTACACAGTATCACGAGGAAGAAGTTTACAGTTATCAAGTGAACAATCTTACTCTATGGCTGTTTTCCTAGCCCAAAACAAAGGTGTACCAATCACCTTATAGAGATACTTACTTTTCAAGGTTGAGGAAGGTTGACAGTTGTAATGGTCAGTTTTGGGTCGACTGATTTAAATGTCATTGTTTTTGTTTGTTTGTTTGTTTTTAATTGAAAGTCTTGTAATATACACCAGGTATAAATGATTGTTCTTTCATAAACGGTCATCTCATTTAAAATTGTGCGGTTTCTTTCTCCTCAGGTCTACACAGCGTCTAACCCCAATGGGACGACCACGGGTAAAACCTTCAAGGTTCACCTTCAGCTCTGGGACACAGCTGGACAGGAAAGGTAGGCCCCTTATCCCATTAGGGCAAAATCTTTTTCCTAACAGTTAGTCGGTTCACACATCACTGATGGCATCGTGGATTGTGGGCTTAAGACTCTCCGTGATTCTACAGGTCATAAATGCCAGGTGGGGCTGATGGATGGCATCAAGGCTTTAAATATGTGTTAAAGTATGGTAGACAAAAAAAGTAATAAAAAAAAACGCCCTTTTTCTAAATCCGTCTCACCAGTGCTTAAAGTTTTTGTCTTAAAGTCTCTCTGCCTGTTACTCTGTAACACAAAAAACATGCCTACCCAAGCTTTAATCATGAAGCAGTAGTAACAAGCATTGATGAAACTGATGCAGTCATACAGCTGACCTTTAGGGCCAGGGTTAGATGGTGTGTAGACTTGAGGTGCAACAAACTACAGTTTTAGCTGTCATTGCACAATTGACCCAAGGAATTGACTTCCAATTGATTGGTCAGTCATTACTGATTGGTTGAAGCTAACCAAAAGAAAATGCAATGATGCCAAAATGAAATCACCAGGGACGATATCAAAACAGATAAATGGTACAATGAAAAACGTTTTAAAAAAGTTTATAATTGTAGAGTAGTAAAGTTTATTTCTGAAATCTAGATAGAGAAACAACAGACCAGTATTTATGGCTGCATGTGTCAGTCATGCGTGTGTGGTCTTTAATTGGTCCTGACCTCGATCTGTTGAATCTGTTTATAAAAGCCCGATGACTCACCGCAGGATGAGTCAGTGTTAGTTACATAATTTTAATTGCATTTGTTCTGCCCAGTGCAACGAAACAGATTCCGCATGATCATTTATTCAAGCGGTTAAAGTTATTATTCCACCTGTAAGCAGGCTGCGGTGGAGACACCTCTGATATCTGCTGCTTCATGCCGATTGTTTGCATATTAAATATTGCTCATAAGTAATGTTTACACACTCGCTGTTGTCACACCCAGAAGCACAAGCATGTCTCAGAATATGCACTTCAACTGGGGGAGTCCCATTACTAACTAGTGCGGGTAGAAACGGACATGGCACACATCTATTGTTTTTCTGTATTTAGTGCTTAAACACAGGTGAAATTACACCTCATATATTTTTCTTATAACAAAGTTATAAGCTGATATTGATCAAATTGAAATCAATGTTTCTGTTTTGTGCAAGAAGGTTTCATACAATTATCCATCGGAATAACAGATTTTTGGAAATGGTTGGCGACTACAGATTTTCAGCTAAAACACTGATATTGCAAAATGTTAGAATGTCATGTTTAGACCCCCAGAGAACAATCCATGACCATGTGGCAACCAGCCATTACCAGGGAAGAAAAATGTGTATTCCCCAACCGGTTGTAAGTGTTTACCCTTCAAAGTAAAAGTTGCACCTTTTCGAAATGTGTGTTTGGTATGAAATGGGGCTTCTGATTTGTGTCACACTTTAAATAAAAAAAACAAACACTACAGCTTGCAGTGGAAAATGGAAGCATTGGTGTCCTCCGTGCAAACTACGGGTGACTAAGGCAATCTCCTAGCAGTGTGCAAGGTTTTCAGTGCAGCACTGTCTTTGTGACCAGTTTCACCTGGTGACAGCCAGCAATCTCCAGATGTAGAGCAGCAAAGGTCTATTTTTGAAAATCTTTTGACAGACATCAGTAAAATATCTATTCTGAGAGTTTAATTTGGGCAAATGTGACTTCCTGTGCTGGAAAATAAAGCATGGAAGTGCAACAAACTGCATTTCTAATAGCCCTAAGTTCAAACAGACATGTTAAAATGCCCAGCTCATCATTAAACTGAAGGCATGTTTACAGCCTGGTATGAAAAATGAGTAGTTTGATTTGTGGCCAAAGATCTGAAATGTTGCTATACAGTGATACAATGCCAAACACTAAAAGGAGCTGGTAAAGACCCAGAACACAGCTGACACAATGTGAATATTTGATATTTATCAGCTGGCCTAAAAGAAGGCTACAAATCAAAAAAACAGAAGAATACAGTGTTGCTCTGTGACTGCTTTCAGGCTTTTGCTCTCAATTAAAAACGTGATGTGCCCAAACATTTTTAAATCAATCAATTCAGGTTTCACACGCTGTTTTGGGTTTAGGTAGTTATTGTAGGATTGTCTATTTTTTTTTCTGCAGCACCTTCTTGTGGCTGTTAAAAGAACTGCATCTGTGGACACATCAATTCTAGCCTCGTCCGTTCATAAGGCTAGCAGTTAATGTGATTGGGTGGCTTGCTCATTCGGGATGTTGTGCAGTATAATACAATTAAGACGTTTTTAGAAACCCTTTAAAAAAATACACACTGTCATATCTGTACTCTTTAAAACTGTTTGTGTTTCAGGTTCCGCAGCTTGACCACGGCCTTCTTCAGGGATGCTATGGGGTTCCTGCTGATGTTCGATCTCACCAGCCAGCAGAGCTTTCTCAACGTCAGAAACTGGATGAGTATGTTTACTAGAATCTGCTATCAAAACATTTCAGTCCAACAATGTTCAACTCACTGTTAAAATATGTAAAAGGCTGATGACTAATGTATTGTGAAAGCATGAAATAGCAGTATAACAAAACATTTCTGTTTGTTTGAAGTTCCTCTGATACATCACATTTTTTATTTATTTATTTACTTTTTAATCTGTATTCATTTTCAGGCCAGCTACAGGCGAATGCTTACTGTGAGAACCCAGATATTGTTTTGGTAGGGAACAAGGCGGATCTGGCCGACCAGCGGGAGGTTCAGGAGAGACAGGCCAAGGAGCTGGCCGAAAAATACGGGCAAGTTTATTTGTCATGTACATTAACCGTATGTATTAGTAGATATTAAGACCACTTCAGGTGTTGAACAGTGATATTTTATTTATTTATTTATTTTTTGTTACTGTTTATCTGAGAGCACACGGTGGCAACTTCTTGTCTGACTTTCACAAAAGAGCTTCTGGCCTCAGCATTACCCTAAAAACATGATGGCTATAATTAAAAAACAAAAGTTGTTTCCTTAGCATCTTGTAGAAACTAAGCAGCTGTTTTTATATCAATGGACACTTAAGGTATTTACAATTACAACTATATCTTGCACTTATACTTAAAACTGCATTAACTTAAATTTCAATTGACACTGTTTCCATGCTTGACCTTGTACAGTTGGATCCTTACCCCTTCACGTGTCCTCAAGCTACTAATACCGTAAACACTTTTTCCTACGTTACGGGTATGGCTGCAGGTATTTATAAAAGTAAAAGGAAGGTATGCATCTCTCAGCCACGTGCAGGCAAGAAGCAATTTGCACAATTAAAATCTGACACTTAAATTAACATACTGTAATGTTCAGAAATTATTCCGATGTGCTTCAGATCTCTGATCCACATTAATATTTGACAGGCTTTAGAACACATTATGTAAATATAATGTGATAGAGAATAAGAAAAGCAAATACGTAATAGTGATTTTTGATGTTGCATAACTCCATATCTCATATAGATCTTGTTTTAACCACCTGTTTTACGCCTCTGTTCTGCTGTATTGCATTACAATAACATTAATGTGGATCAGAAACATGTGGGGCTTTGTCCGAAAACAACACTCACTTTTGTACATCATGTATGATTGATATAAATACTTTATTTTGTTAGCATTGATAATTTTATTTTATAGAAAATTATTGTTAGGATTATTGCGATCATCAACATTGCATGTTTATGAATAGATGGTACATGGTTTTTCTGTAACAGACGACTTCCTGTTAGATGAGGTAAAAACCCACAAAGTTTTGCTCACGGAAGTAATATAAGTAAGTTCTGACATAAACGAGTAAACCAAAAAAGCTTTGTTGATGCAAGTATAGCAAAAATTGCAGATCCTAAATGTGCTCGTATAGATGGTTAAACTAACCACTTCAAGCCTTCAAGTGTTTTCCAGCTTTGGTTAACCACCTGAAGTTGTTAAACATACTTAGGAATACAGTAACACATGACATCTCCCGCAGATGCCCATAATAAACTGACAATAAGCCAAACATTATCATATGTAAAGCACACAATTCAAGTTTTTTAATGCATATCACAGTTAGCAGATATCAAGAATTGTCTTTCTGCAGTTCTGTTGTCCAGCGTAGAATTTATTCCTGTAAAGTTCTGTTGATCAGATGCTTCTGAACGACAGTCTCTCAGGACTTGGTCCTGTTTCAGGCAGTTAGCAGACTGATGGGTCTTTAAAGTTGTTTCGGTCTTCACACCTGCACTTTTCTACCATATGGTTACAAGTACAAGAACTTATTTTAGCTCATTAATTTACTCAATGCAAAATGCATAGTCCAAATCTTCCTCAGCCTTTCGACCAGTTTAAAAAAATCTTTTTTAAAATTCATGATAGTTGAAAATAACACAAATACAAAGTAAGGGAAAGTGAGCAAGTGAGGTGCATTTGGAAAAACATTGGTTTAAGTTGCAGATTTGTTCTTTGCAGGATCCCGTACTTTGAGACGAGTGCAGCAACAGGAGCAGATGTGGACAAGGCGGTTCTAACGCTGTTAGACCTGGTCATGAAGAGGATGGAGCAGTGCGTCGACAAACCCCCTGCCGAGCCTGCCAATGGGAACGGGGCCACAAAGCTTGGTGATGCACAGCCGATTGCTAAGAAATGTGCATGTTAGATGAAGAGGCGATACAGGACAACAACCAGTCAGTGCTGCTCTGTCGTCTGTCCTTCTTCTCACCACATTCCTTCCTCTGTTTACTTTATCCTTGTCATTTTTGATAGCATGTCTCTTCATCGTTTCATCACCCCTGTGCTCTTTAAAGCTAACATTTAGCCATGTTCTCCTATTTTGGTTCTTTTCCTCCCTTTATGCTTACTTGTCCTCCCTAATGTCATTCTGACAATGAAAGAACTCTATCCCCCTCTAATGGACTCTTACGGTAATACAGTTTCTGTTGGTCTGCCTTTAGGAGGACATTAAAACAGGAGGGGACAGTTTCATCACTGTCAGACGCATAATGTGCCTAGTTAAAAACATGCACCCTGGGAATAGGCTCTGCACGCTCCCAATTTAACTGCTCGCAAGTGCTTTGAATGATTTAACGGACCTAAACAGTCAAAAAGACACATTTAAAAGTTTAATTTGGACTCTTTATATGTTGATCTATCTATTTATGACTGCAAAATGAGGGGGATTTAACTTTGTTTTTAATCAGTATTGGTCCTCTCCTAAAGTGTTTGCTCCTGGATCACAGTGAGAAATTGTGTGACTGATATGGTTGAATTCCTCTGTTATTTATAATTGTTTTTTCTCCCCGTTTCACAAAGTGTCCTATGCTGTACCCATATGAGCCACATTTAGTAACTTTCTGATTTTTACTTTTTTTTGTCAGGTTTAGACATTTGCTAAAAAATGCAAAATGCTTTTTCTTTTTGTTAATAAAATAAAAAAATTTATAGTGCAGCATAACATAAAATAAAATCACCCACTGCTAGCTTCTTTTGTTTCTTTCTCTAGGTTACATCAGATAGTACCCTCTCATGCAGTATGGTATCAGAAACATGTACTTTTTTCCATTGTCACTAATTTTGTTTACAGGTAGTATTGTCCTATATAGATTATAGAAAGTTGCACACTTAATAAAGGGTATAGCATTTGACCTCAGTTGTTTGTGACCATATATTATATTTCATTCTTTTACAATGAAGACACAAATTTACCACACAAAAACAACCAAACAGCATACAGCATGTGACATCAATAATATTTTAAAAATGATGCCGTCTGCTAGCTTGGTAGTGAGCACCATCCAAGCACATGATGTATCATGTTCCTACTGGCTCCTACTTGGTTGGTGATTCTTAACGTTTACTTTCTGACCAAAATCAGAAAAAATCTATTTAAACACTCCTACATTGTCAGGTTTTTTGTTTTGTTTTGTTTGTTTGTTTTTTCAGTGTTCTACCAACTTTAATGTTTTCCATTTAAAGTTTTTTTTTTGTGGGGTGGGCGGGGGTTTATTTATTTATTTTTTTAAGCCACATCACCTGGTTTTACATGTCAAACTTGAGGTTTTCACTGAAGTAGAAGACCACAAATACTGGCATTTCCACCTTCTCATGTCAAATATTAGCATTTGATAAGTTTAGATATATCCTAGTCTGCTAAGGATTCCTAATATCATTAGAAAAGTATTTTTGGCTAGATTTTATATATTTGTTTCCATTTCCAAAGTATTAATTAAGAGACAGTTTTTTCAGATGGCTGATGCCATCAACACTATAAAAGATGGGCATAGCTACTTGTTTTGAAGGCTCAAAATGAGTGATTTTGGCATTGTGAAACCAAATGTAGTGGAGCCATAGTGAGCATATCCTGGATAATCCTCCTTTCTGACATACAGATTGACCAGAATATACAAAATAAACTTAACGTTTTAGACGGTGTGACACGAAATGAGCAACTGACCCGATAAACTCGGTAGCAAAATGTTGACAGACATGCAGACAGAGGGCTGTTTTCTTCTACAGAAACAGAAATCTCAGCCCATTGTTGGCCTTTGGAAAGAATGCCATCTTTATTATAGGACTTGTATGGGTATAGCATGACACATGTGCAATAAAGGAAAAAAAAAAATGCATATTGATCATTTTAATAGTGTTTATCAGCATAGATGTATTGTTCCAAAGTGACCTACTGCCTTGACCTTTGAAGCATTATTCCACTGTAGTCAGGCAGACCTTGTTGGAGACGGTCCAGCTGTGCTGTTAAATGTTCGGGAGGCACATTGTCATTGTAACTTTCTACCATTTACTTAAAAAGCTCAAAATAAAGTTGTTTTTCCAGAGAGCAAAACACGTCCTAAACAAAAAAACAGCAACAATTCAACATCCAAGCTCTCTGAATAAATCCTTTCTAATCACAAAAATAATAATAACAGGATAGAATGGGAGTAAAATGCAGAATTAGCTTTATCAGGTGACATGAGATCTTCAGTGCAGCTGATTTTTGATTTTGACTTTTTCACATCTTTACATCAGATAATCAGAGAAACTCCAATATGGCTCTGGGCTCCAATTCTGTCCATGACTAATGTTAGATTATATGTTGACCAGTTATTTATTTTACAGTACATGTGAGACATATGTAGTTATTTCTGTTGTCCTGTTTTTGTTCTGTTCTTTAAATCCCACGTTCCTGTGTTACTTCATCTAGTTTAATTTAATTTAAGAAGCTGCTTTCATATTGATTTACTTTTTCATTGTTTTAGTATTTTTGTGCTCAAAGCATAAAAACAAAAAAATCCAGAAACTTTGGTTTTACTAATTTCAGCTTTGAGTTGTCTTGGTTAAATCTCTTCAACCTGGATTTGGGTGGTTTATCCAATTCATCCGAGCTAATCTGCATCTTCAAGCGTCACCAGATTGGATGGGAAGTGTCTTCTTTGTGCCTCTCAAAAGATGTTCTGATGGATTAAAATTTTGGCTTGGCCACTTAAGAACCAACAGTGACTTGCCCTGAAGCTTTTCCAGCATTGTAATGGCTCTGTTCTTTAGTTCATTGATTCATGCTATGCTGAAAGATGACTGGATGTCTCAGCCTGTGGTAGAAGCACTCAGTAGATGGGTTTTCTTCCAAAACTTTTTTTTTATTGGGCAAAAACATGTTGTCACTGTGTTATTAACTCCACTATATTAAAATGTCAATTTCATCTTTGAGTCAGTGATTTTTTTTGTGTGTGTGTGTGTTTAAAGTGCAGCTCACAGTTTTCCATAAATCAAATAACACCTTATGTGATCAAAGAATATTGAGGAAAAAACGATTAGATTGGCTGCTGATAAATGTTGATTTTTGTGCATCAGTGAATCAGCTGAGAAAGTTCAAAGCTGTTCCAACTTGTGGAGGAGTATAGCTGTAGCGTGCTGGGTTTACTGTAGGCTGTCATTCAAAGCAAATCAAAGACCAGGGCTTAACAAATGGGTCATTAGGAAGAAGTATATTTATTATTATTTTCCTTTATTCATTTAGGTAAACATCTCATTAAGATTAAAATCTCTTTCATGAGAGACCTGGCCAACAGGGCAGCAGAAGTTACAATAAATACATACACATAACACGAAAACAAGCAAAGAAACAAGTGCATATAGCTTAAAATTTTAACCACAAATTCAATCTGACAGTGTGTTAAATAACATTTTTTTCAAATAAATATTTGTTACTGTAGTTTTCTTGACAGCTGAACACACTGAGCGGATTAGAGGCTGCGTAGGGACGTAACAATATTCATTTGCCAACATCTGATTTCAGTGCCATGTTGAAGTGCTACTTACAGTATATTTGAATTTTAGATGTTCAACAATAATTTGCTGATAGTATGAAGCGTTGACTCTGATGTCTCCCAGTTACTTGGCAGAAAATTCTGTCTTTCTGTAGGCTGGTTTGCAGCATTGTGTATGTTTTCTTTTATTTTGGTTGTAAATTATGCAGACGTTGTTTGTATGGGTAAAATAGTTATAATGTACAAGCCACTTATGTCTAAAAGTATAGTTGGAAGAGAAACCTCAGTAAAACGGACCAAGTAAATGTGTGGTTATTAGTTTACTCTGGCCCACCTTTTATTCATAAAGCAGTGATGTTTTAGCAGAAATCTATCGTTTAGCCACTAGAGGGCAGAAGATCGAGTGGCAGTCCTTGCATGTTAGCAGTCAGTAGCCAGATTACACACCTAGCGCATGTAGACAGGAGTTGTAATTCTTTACTCCATTGTTCACCTTCCTCTCAGCTCTGGTTGAGTCTCCTCCATAAATGAAACTGGATTTGTGGCTGTTTAATGTTTGTGTCTTTGTTTTTTGCCTGTCTGCCGTTTGGTGAAATTGTTTGGGCTAGCCAGAGCAGCAAGACCAAACCGGGTAGTAAACGTGCCGTAAAACCAAAACTAAAGCTGAAAGAGGCTAAAAAAGCTCCGTACCATGCTGCATAATTGTGAGTTCTCTGTGAGTGTCAATTTTTAACATAGTCATGTCACGTTTTTGTTGAAAGAAATTGATGAAAATGAATTATGAGGCAAAACATGACCTGCAGTTGCTTAACTACTTTAACTAAATGACATGCAACTTATTAGGACTAATAAAGTTGGGGAAATTGCTTCAATATTGATTAACTTTACAATGTCAAAATCGCAGCTGGGGTCAAACAGATTAACACTAAAAGTCTTTGTATTTGAGATCTGAACAAATGGGCAAGAATTTTCCTCAACCAATGCCTTTAATTGTGACAATCTTCTAGGACAAATTGTCGGTTTTCACCTGAACCCTTCTTCCAATATTGCTCATCATGTCTTCATTTCATCCCCCCCCCACCCCCCCACACACACTTTTTTGTTTTTAAATCTTTCATCCATCTCTTGCTGTTTTTGACCGTCATTTTCTCCATGAACCTATTGTGTCTTAAGTGTTGTTTTTGAATTCACTTTGAAAGTTTACACTGTTTGGGGTCATGTTGTGCCTGTTATAATAGCTCTTCTGTCTGATCCTCTGTAAAGTTTGTGAGCTACTGAATATTTTAATGCATTATTGATTATAGATTATAAATCAGAGGCAAAAGAGAACAGAAGTCAGATGTTTTTGGGTTTTTTGTGTATGTCAGATTTATCAAAACAACAAATCAATCTAAGTACCTCTAAGAGCTTTTATTTTTGGATCTCCTGTGTGTGAATTCTCTCTGATGCCTGCGGTTTGTACTCGTTCGTTCAGTTTTCAATGTGTGTATCGATGCCTGTGTGTTTGTTGCACTGTCAGCATGTTTGACAGTATGAGAATGGATTGACCTGTTCAGTGTTTCTGATGCAGGAGCTGCAAAACATTTGTTGGTTTTATCCAGTTTTTTTGTTTTGTTTTGTTTTGTTTTGTTTGTTTGCTTTTGTTTTGCTTCTTTTCTTTTTCTTTTTTCCCGACATGTCAGCTGCAACTTGATACAGATGGCCACTGCCGTCTTATAGTCAGCTAAGATGCATTATAAAGGTATCTGATACCAACCACGGCGTGGTGTTTCTGTCTGGAGGAGGTAGTTGCAAATACATTTATCATTGCACATTTATGTTAATATTTTAGTTTCCTTGATAAATTGCTCACGAATTAAACTTATGCTGCATTTTTATCTTGTGGAAGCAGACGTGATTGGCCGCACCTATTATATACACTTCTCTGAATTTTGCCTGTGGGAATGTGACTATGTCTTGACTACAGCCATTGTTGAGTACTTATTCTACTAAGTTTACATTTTCTGCCTTTTGTTTTTTTTCAACACATCTATTTCCCCATGAAAAAGAAAAAAAAACACCTTTCAGAAGTGCTCCAAAGCTTGATAAATTATAACAGTGTGTGATGCAGCATAATCCAGCTAAAGTTTAAAATGTTCCTCCAAGTTGATGTTTGAAAATAGACTTCATGTATCAATCTTTTCATGTAGTTTGTATTACTTTGATGGATATATACTCTTTCAGAAATCATTAACCTGAATTCAAAAACTCCACTAGGTTCACAAGAAACTGTTCTCACCACACTCGCCAGAGCAGTGTCACCACAGGCCAGGTACAGAAAAGCTGTCAGCATCATTAAGGTGGCACATTTCATTCACTCCCTGGGTTAGGTTACATACCCAAAGAGTGCATGGCTAAAATGAGCAGGGGTCTGCTGGACGAGGATTTTCAGCAAGTAGTGCATTGTTTATTTGCTGCTTATTCATCAGAAACTGTTCAGTAAATGACTTTTTCCCCAACATAGTTTTCAGAGATAGTTGCAGACGGTCAAGTTAAGATAGCAAACGTGAAATATTGGAAAGTCTTGCTGTTCCTGATTGCTTTGTTTGTTTGTTTCGTGTGCTGTGTCACATATTGTTATAATATCTAAAGACCATAATGCGCCCAGTGATCTTTAACCTTGTCTGTTGTGCATTGTCTTTTTTGGCAAATTGCCTACATGAGTGAACAAAAGCATACAAAAAGAACAATTACACAATTTCCTGTATTGTGTTCTCATAAACAGACAATTTATTTATCACAAAGTTAGTTTTAAATGCAACCCCTATGTGACTGTGGCGCAAAGTAGGTCCTGTTCTGAGTCAGTAGTAATCACAAAAAGCAAAAAATATAATGTGATAACTCTTTGACTTAGGAAAATAGTTGTGTTATTCTTATGCAATACTCAATGCTGCTTCCATTTCAGGAAAACCTTGTTCCTCACAACAACAAACAAAACAAAACCCAAAGTCAGTCCAGTCATTGAATCTTCTAGACAGGAATGCCCTGCCGTGGTGTTAACTATCAGACCAAAATCAAGATTTTATGGTGAAATAACCAAACCTGCCTGAACATTTGACCAAAACGTTGAGAAATTTTTTTTTTGTGATTCATTTTCTTTTGTCTTGATTTTAATACTTGTGTTGCCTTTGACACCGATGCTAGTTTTGTTTGTAACAGTTATAAAATGTAAAAAGGAACAAAGAGAAAAAAAAAAAAAAGCAAAAAGGTTTTGAGAGTGTAATAAGCCGGAACTGAACGTGTATGTATTGATGAGTATCTTTGTCAGTTGTTTGCATTTTATCTAGCCGAAGCATTTGTTATAGATTGATTGACTTTGCAACTTGAGAGCTGATTAAAAATGAACTTAGTACTATAATAACTTTCTGATGTTTTGTCTTTGTTTTGTACTTCTGCTTGTGTGTAGTCATGCTAGGTTAATTGATACAAATAGGAGTTTGTTAATGCTTTGTGAATCGCGTCCTCATAGATATCACTGAGCTCCTTTCAGAGGGAGAAGCTGGAAGTCCCCAGTTTGGTGAACTTGTTTATATTTCCTTGAAGTAAAGACTACTTTTTTCTTTCTTTCCTCACTTATAAGCATAGAAATGTCTAGCCTATAAAGAAAAGGTTACAAGACTTACAAGATTTCTAAAAGTGCAAAATTTCTAAAACTGTACCAGCAATCTTGCAATCTGTAGCTTCATAATGGTAAATCATGCAATGGCAGAACCTACCATTCAGGGGTTTTTTTTGTTTTGTTTTGTTTTTCAACATTACATGGGTAATGCTCTCGTAATTCAGTGCTAATAAATGTGTAATTAATATTTAACTGTTTAAAAACATTGGCCACTTTACTTATTACCTACACAAAATAGAAAATGTGACAAAGCACATTTGAAGTCAGCTACATGAAAATAAAATGTTGGTTAGTAGCAGGCTAATAGGGGTTTTTTTTCTATGTATTTTATATTTGAAAAGCATGTTGACAAAAGTATCGTTTTTTGTATTTCATTGACTAATGCAGAACAACATCACATCAAATTTAATCCTGAGCTCTGTTATTGTGCAGTGGGTTATATTTTTAGTAACTTCTCCCCAGAAAAGGCCATAAAGTCGTTTAGTTCTCAAAAACAGCGCAAAAAAAGAACAATTCAAATTCACAGTGCAGAAGAATTTATTTTATCTTGTAGTAAGAAACTTCTCACCAAAAGAGAAAATGTGGAAAAATAAATACCCAAGAATAGTGGAACCATGTGAAGTATAGTTACAAAAATAAGTCAGCATATTTAGTTTCTTTTTACATTTCTGTAGATACCCTCATTTTCTTTTGCTACGAGGGAAAAAAATCCAGTAGTGTAGTTATTATAGCTGAGATACAGCAACCTAAACAAAACTTGTGATTTAAACTCCTCTTTCCAAACAAGCTAAAAACATAAAAAATGTAAACATAGCAAGGAATTAAAACTGTGTGAATATTAGCTTTTAATATATTTCTAACAGACATCCTTCAAACTACTTTTTGCATATTACCGATATCTAAGAATGACTGTCAAATATGCTTAATATTCCACTCTTGATTTTAATTCAACAATCTAGTTTGCTTTTGTCTGAATGCTTGGTTTTCTTAAAAAACAAAACAACTATCCTCCAAATTAAATTATGCAGAATATTAAACTAAAATCAGAATACATACATGAATTAAGATTGCATTCACAAAAGAAAAAAATGCATTACTATAAAATTACAAAGGTAAGTTACGAGATCAGAATGTTGTAATTTTTCAGCGAGTGTGCAAAAGAAACATTGGGTTAAAGTTCTGATTTCCTGTCTCATAACAGAATCTTGACTTTTTATATAAATTAGAAAGTAGTTGAGGTAATCCTAGGAAAAAAGGATTTTCTTTTGTGAATCAAACTCATTTCTGCATACGTAATCTTTGTTCCCTCCTCAATACAACACATTTTTACATGTTTAAAAATGACCAGAGTAAACGCCTCATTCGTTTTGTCCTCTTTTTGAAATAAATCTTAGCCTTGAAACTTATCTCATGTACAGGTACAACATGCAGGAGGCGCAATAGGTCATATCTATACAGCAGCAAACCACCCAAACTACCCAAAACTCAACTCTGAAGTCCTCCTGTATTTTTTTTCTATAAAATAAAAACTTTCCCCACTAAGAAATTATTAAAAAAAGAAAATCTCAAACATAATACACACACACACACATACACACACTTCATATAAATAATTGCTTAATGGGCTTTGATTTGAATTACACAGTTACTTAAAGATCCCCCACATGTACCAGATTTATCTTGCTATTTCTTCTAATATGTCAAAATCCAAATACTGCATGTATGAATGTAGAAAAAACCCTCTTTAGGAAAGAACTGCCATTAAAGAGCCATCAAATAATACAAAAGCTGAGAGATTGGAGAGCTCTGATTCTTTGAATCATTATTTGCGTTCTGGGATCTGAAAAAGTCCTCTTTCCCATCATCACCAGTCTTTAGAACATTTGTGCACCTGGATAATTTAGAACATTTACTGGTTTAAAGCTCATTCTAAAAGACTTGGGTGGAACAACTGGATTCAAAACTACACCTTAATCAAATCCCTATTATGTCAGCACTCTAAACAATAATATTTCCGTAATATGGGTCGATATCAAGCAGCAACCTCAACTGCAGTTCCTTAAATGGCCATTTGGGACTGGCTTTCCCTCAGAAATGAGTTTAAAACTTTTTTTTGCATAACTTGCAACTTGCATAACTTATTAAAATTTAAAGCAAGTTTGTTTAAGGGTGTGACTGCTCTGAATGATAGGTGGGTGATGTCACAGCAGTTACATCTTTTGCAGTATAAGTGTCAACATGTCTCTGCAGCAAACTCCTGTAGGTTTATTTTCTTTGGCAAACAAGCAGATTGTGGCTTTAAGGAGAACAGGGAGGCAGAAAGTCCACCAGGTGATTCTGTCGTTCACTTTAGACGGTTGAATTTCTTCCTGATAAACAGAAGAGGGCGATCAAGTCCACAAGCTTTTTAGGAGACGCTTGAGAAATGGTTTTCACTGGGCCACTCCCAGGTAAGACAAACAACAGTTACTACCCTTTGAATTAACATTTAAAATGTGGGCAGAGAATCACACTTTAGCACACACGGCATGTAAAGGGAAAAAATTGCTTTTCAGCTTTTAGCACAACAGCGCTAACACAGTAAAGTACAGGACTTGTGGTGCATTTACATGCAGGATTGTTTTGTCCTTTCAGATTTTCAGAAATGTAATTTTCCTGATGGTATTAAAGAGTGACTATCCTGTAGACATTTCGTGTTTAAAAACAAACAAACAATAAAGCCTGGAAGGAAAAAGAAATCTTCTCATTTGGTTATACACTGTTCCCGCTGAGGGAATTTAGAGTGAGGGGTTTTTAGACTTTGGTGACATTTGTACTATGTTCCAGTGTCAGATCATCGTCGTCGTCACTGAGGTCCAACCTCAGGTTATCCAGAGTCTGACGGATTGTCATGGTCTCCTTACGCCTGAGGGATACAGATGAAGCTTTATTAGTTTGCCATCAAAATTATGAGAGGGTACGTAAACATATGTAAGGAGGTTAAAAAAACAAAATCTGCAAGGTGAGAAATCATGAAAGAAAATACAAGTGTCAAGTAGCTGTTATGCATTATGAGCTATCAACAGTCCATATGCATGCATGCAGTACAGTTCATACTTGGTCTGCAGGTGTTGGTCAAGCAGCTGCTTCTGTAGGCGGCTGGTTGTTTCCCTCTCCTCAGTCAGCTCTCTCTGGGTGTGCCGGTACTGTGCCTCCTTCCTGCTTGCCTCCTCCTCGGCCTCATTCAGCTGGCGCTTCAGAGAGCGGATCCTCTGGGTCATCTGGAGAACAAATCACAGATTATCAGATCATCTGGTTAGTGTACATCTGGTTAGCATTCGACAGTGATCTTCCAAGTACATTTAGATAATCCTAAAACACTTTTTAAAAAAAATAAAAAAAACCTTTACTTTCTTGCATTACTCTACCGCCCCTGTGTGGAGAACATGTGCAAGATGATAAAATAAGAAGGCAAATATAACTAATAACTTTTTTCTGTACTGTATATAAGTTAAGTTAAGTTATAACTTAAAATACAATATAAGGTTAGTAAAAATAAAGTAGTGGAAGGATGGAAATTACTGCAGATGATGATGATGATGATAATAATAATAATAATAATAATAATCATAATCATAATCATAATAATCGGTGATTTAAGAATCAGTAGTATTGAAGCTTTGGATATTTCAGCTAACACGCACTTTCCACTTGGGGGTGTCTGAGACAGAAATGCTGTTTTATAGGTTTGTACAAATGTGTGTCTGTTTCTGTATTACCAGGTCTTTCTGTTCAGTAGCTATCCGGTGCTCCTCCTCCATCTGATCACTCAGCTCGTTGATCTTCCTCTCCAGCTTACTGTTGGTGTTTGCCAGAGTTGCTTTGTTCCTGCACAGAAACACACACTTGTAGTGTAGCAGCAAAAAGCCGTTTAACACATGCAGGTACTCCTGCAAAGTCTGCAGGCTGTCCTCGGTCACAGAGAAGATCTTTAACTGACCTCTCCTCAACCCTCAGTGAGTTCTCCAGTTCCTTGACTCTGATCTCCGTCTTAGAGATGACATCCTCCTGTACTCTGTTGCTCCGCAGTTCCTCCACCTCCAGACGAAGCTGACGCAGCTACACAAACACACTTTATTAGTACTCAAAACACAGAAAAAAAGTATCCTTTTATTTACATTGTTTTGTGTATAAAAATGTCTAAATACAAGGAAATCATGGCAGCTATAAGTGTTTCTTTTAGAAATGACACTAATAAGATCTGATTCGTCTTTTTGTCCACAAAGTGATGGCAAGTTTTTGTTTTATCTATGAAATGTTCTGCTTAATTTTCACAAAATGGCAAATGAGAATGGTGCACAGAAAAAGTAAATATATTCTATTCAAATGCATATAATATAATATTGGCTTCTGAATTTAAGGCCCAAACACTTATTACATGCATAAAAAGACTAGAAATAAGCCCACACAGATTACCTGTCTTTCCATTGACACTTTCTCAACTTCCAGCTGCTCGTTCAAATCTTTCTCCTGAATCAGCTTCAGCTGCAGCTGCTCGGTCTGGAGGTCAAAACACAAAAAGAGAGTCAATAACCAATCAAATCAGTTCTATACGAATAGTTTTCAGTTGATACACTTCCTGTTCCCAGCGCATCTACCTGATCGATGGCTCTCTTTTGCTTGGCGGCCCATCTCTGCTCGCTGTCATGCAGCTCCTCCAGATCGCTCTCCAGGTCGATTAGCTTCTCCTGAAAGTTTAAAAATAAGTAAACTTCTGATCTGAATCCCTCTCAAACACCCTGTGAGGTCACTCTTTAAAATGTCTGACACTCGGGTTATTTTTGAAAACGGAACAGATTAAGCATCTTCAGAAATGGTGACGTGACGTATATACAGGATTATGGAATCACTGTAGCATGCTGACTGCTAAACGGGATTTGCATAATTAATACCCCATTAACCCCAAACTCTGATGGTTTGCATGAATGATTAACTCAAGTGGACATCTCTGTTTGACTCATTAGGTCATGCACACAAAGACACTTTGGATGTCACATGATCCAAATATGGTAAAATGTTCAGGAATTTGGTGATAGCAAAATCACAAGAAAGGACTAAAACCAACAATGGATGTAACCTTAACATGTGTGTATAAAAGCCTGACATGCTGTATATAAAACACACATATAGTAGTTTATCTGGAATCAAACAAACCAAATGTGTATTAATCTGCTGCTGAAAATCAGACTTTTCTTCCTGTTAAATATTAACTACAATCACTACGATTAGCAGCTGTTTTTAGTGAAGCTTTAAATGTGGGCACCACATGCAAAGTAAGGGCATTAGGGAAAAATATCAAATTTCCCTACACATTTCTTCCTCTTTCAGTGTTGAAAATAAATAATTTTATGTGAAGCAGTTTGACAGCTTGAAAAAAAGTGTGCTGCTGTTGAGCAGGTAATTAGCTTTCTACCCTTGAAATGATGAATGTTTGTTGACTCATTCAGCAAATTAAGGTGAAGGGCAAGACATGATGATTAGATAATGAGTCAATGAGGCTAATGTGGGCTGTCGTCTGGCCCACACAGATAGCTGTCTATGACACGGCCAATCTAAAAGCAGCAACGGCAGGGGGTGACATTCTCTGAATATGAGTTGGGATTTTTTTTTCCAAATCTGAAATTAGACAGAAACCCTCAGCTAGAGTTGTGTAGGCCACATTTCTCTTGCAAGGATTGACAACATCCCGCCAAAGAGCATGTCACAGGCGAACGTTAATAAGGAGGCACAGTAGCGATGCCTAAAAGCTGTCGCCCCAAATTCAAGACAATTTCCCTCCAATGACCAAATGTTTTTGAAATCGATGGTAAATCAAAGCTGAAATCAAGATTATTCCTTTATGATGCTGAAGGCTGAATTTTTCAAACTTAAATTTGTGAGCCTAACAATCCATGGCAGCTAGGTGGTCCCTATGGTTTTGCTGAGGTTGTGAATATCATCTTATACAAAAACCTAGAAATGTTTCTGTCTGACTGTTTCTTTGATCACATTCAATAAAGTATCTGGTGTAAAGATGCAGTGTAACCCTCTTGCCTCGCCTCAGACTATTTACTGTACCTGAGCCAGTTTGAGCTGTTTGGCCAGGTCGTCTCTGGTTTGGTTCGTACTGTGCAGCTCCATGGTGAGGTCGTCCACAGTCCTTTCTGCCTGCTTACATTGCAGCTGAAGCCTCTCTCTCAGCTGAATCTCCTCCTCCAGCGAACGCTCTCTATCGAACAGCTTACCAGAGACCTACACACACATACAGAAAACACACAAGTCCTGAGGCTGTGGGTACTCCAAAGGTTTCCACAGCTGTTATTCTCTATTAGGCCACTATGTCTCAAAGTACAGCTGAAGCTTAAACTCAAACATACCTCTCCCTGCAGTTTGGTCACGAGGGTCTGCAGTTTCTGCACTTCCTGCTCCTTCTCCAGCAGGGACTCCTCCAGCTCGTCCAACCTCATCTGGGCATCCTCACGCAGCTTTTGCTGCAGGTTCATCTCTGCATTAGCCTGAGTGGATGCCGCCATGGCCTCACCCAGCTGGAAATGGATATAAACTTATTACAGTTTAATACAGTTTATATTTGTAGTAATAAAAAGAAACACATTCTCACTACAAACATTTCTTAAAGATCTAATTGGTTAACACATTTAAATGTTTTTGCTTTAATTTAAGAGTCCTTTTCCACATGGAGGCACAAGAAAGATTTTACTACTATCATAGTGCTGGAGAAATGAAGAATAATATGCTTTGTACTGCTTTTTTAATTTGAATGAAAAATCTGACGGCAATTTCAAACTCCATTTAAAAAGGAAAAGAAAATTAAAAGCCTTTTCTGCACATACTTTATGTTACTGTAAATGATGCTGCACCAGCGGGTGCAGTTTATGCTTTGGAATTGCTGCTTTGGGTTGTCAGGTTTTTCAGTGATGACAATTTATGTGGTTCTTTAGAGAAAATTTCTAAATTCTGAGGTGATGGCTGCTCATCGCCTCAGTGCAAGGAATGAACCCTGTTTGTCTCCACTTGTCTACTATGTCCGTACCTCTGTCTCCAGCCTGAGGATGGTGTTGCTGAGGTCAGACAGCTTCTTGTCTTTGCTTTCTTTGTCACTCTCCACGTCTTCCAGCTGCCTCTCTGCCAGCCACAACTTCTCAGCCAGAGTCTGAGCGTGTTGCGTCTGCTTGTCCAGATTTTCCTGAAAACAAAAAACATGCATATAGTTCAGCTTCTTTGTAAAAGAGAAAAATGTGTCTCTTACTGGTCTGAATGTGCAGTAACATAGATGATCTAGTCCCTCACTGACAAATAAAACCAAGCTGGATACTGAATAAACTGGATTATCACTGAATGTCATTAAGGATTCTTGGTATTCTGTGTGCTGTGTTATACTAAAGAGTAACACAGGGGTGTACCCCGAGTCCCACCTCCCTGCTCTGTGACCATAGTTAGGGAAAGTGGTTAAAAAAATACAAAGAAATTGTAAATTACATCTTTGGATATCTGGATGAGTGGAAATCACTTTAAAGATATGGTACATAATCCAGTTTTCCTTTGCCTTTTTATCTATCTAGATTATTTTGGTGCGAGTTCCTCCTCAGGTTTTAATGTGATCTTTTTTCTTTTTTTTTTAAAATGTATTTTAGCTCCTTCCATCTAACTTTGCATACCTCAGCATCCTGGATCCGATTTTTGAGCGACTGCTCAAGGAAGTTGAAGGCGTACTCCTGAGTGTTGGCCTCCACCATCACCTCTCTGGCTTGCTTCACCTCAATCTGCGTAGCACAACACAAGTGTCGCCCATCCAAGGATTTATACTACTACAAATCACTTCTAAGCATCCTTTTATCTTAAAAAAAAAAAAAAATCACACCTCCATCTCTCTGAACCGCTCCCCCACGGACTGATTTTCTCTCTCCATCTCTATCATCTGCTCCCTCAGCCGCTTCAGCTCGTTGTTCAGCTGTGTGTTTGTTCTCAGCAGGTCCTCGTTGTTCACCAGCAGGCCGCGCATCTCAAACCTTCACAGACAGACAGTAAGTACTGTTATGGATTTAGACAAGAACAAATTGAAATGGACTTAATACACTTAAAACAAAAAAAGAAAAGAAAGAAATAACATGTGGCTAAAAGCTTAATTCATTAAAGTCATAAGTACACGGCCCTCGGTTAGCTAACAGTGTGCTGACTTCGAGTACAACTACAAAAAAACAACACATGCCCGACCTGATCTGGTTCCTCTCCTTCTCCATCTCCACACTCTCTGCCTCCAGGAACTGGTTGCGCTGGAAGAGACAACACACCACATCAAAAATCCAGTTTTCTACAAACCGCCAGAAGCTAAATGCTCCTCACACAGTAGATTGTTTTGTGTCCTGTTTGGTGCTCTCTGATTCATTAATCTGATAAATCTGGTGAATCTGGTCCAAATCAGACTCGTGCTGAACAGTATTCAACAGATTTGTGACATCATGAAGAGGGGATTCATGGACTCCCACCTACTCCTCAAACCTTCTGTTTAAGAGGGGCAGCCAATCAGGAAAAAAGCCACTTAAGGGGGAAAGGAAGGGAGGAAAAGTGGCTTGCTTCAAACAGAGGATAAAGGGCTGCACAAAAGGCCCATAACAAGATAAATAAAAGTTAAATGAGCCTAACTGGCACTCTTTGAGAGTTTTTTGGTCAGGTACACATGCTATAAGTCTGCATTTCTCAGACATTTATTTAATGTTAATTTGTTTTAATTTGAATCTATACTCCTTTTTTTTCCCCCCAGGCGACTGAATCCACAAGAAGTGAAACGGGGCTTACTCTCTGTATGGTTTCCAGCTGTTTGGTCAGTTCTGCTATGTAGTCTTTTTTATTGGGTGCTCCCAGAGTGGAAGAGCGCATGCTGTAGTGTGTGGGCACCACCTGTGGCAAGAAAAATGTACAGAAACCCATTACAAAGTGTGGAAGTCAGAGTATGTGCTACACGTGTGTGTGTGTGTGTGTTTCAGTAAACATGTACCATGTTGTTGACCTCCGTCCTCCTCCTCAGAGTGTCGTAGGTGGAGAAACGGGGGCGGGGGGAGATGAGGGTCGGCGTCTGTATGCCCACCGGACTCGTGCTGCGACTGTTATAGGTGTACAGGTTCATCTCAGAGGTGGCAGGAGACAGTTTACCCTGAACATGGAGAAAAGAGGGGAGGCGAACAGAGGAGGGTCAGTACCCTGCTGTGACTCCACATCCTGGTCAAAACATTAATTATGCAGAAACAAATGCAAACTATTTCCTGCAAAAGTTTAAAAGAAACATTTGGTTTATTGGCACTCTTTAAAAGCTTTTTGTCAAGTACACATGCTGTGAATCTGCTGTATTTTAGAAAAGAAATGCAGCTTTAGTACATTTCAAGACACTGTATAAATAAAGTGGTTTCAAAATTAAAGTGGGGTCAACTTACAAACCTTTTCAGACATTCGATAAGGGGGGTTGTAATCCAAAGAGGTGGCTTGAGAGTATGGACTGTTAAACACTCTGGGGGGGCTGTCAACAACACCCATCTGTAAAAAAAAAAAAAAAGTCAAAAATGTAGAGACTTAAAGAAGACAAATAAAGCTCAAGGATCTCAGAGAAAATGTGAATTCAGAAGTGCAGATACAGCCACAATTGCCTTCCTCACATCAACATAAAATGAACAAAGGTGGGCGTGTGCTGTAAAGCAGCTGCGTTTATTAGACGTGTGCAGCAATCCTGTTAAAGTAACAAACGTGAAGACTGAAACAAGTTTTCTATACTGGTATTCACATTCATACCAGTAACAGATGCTACAAAAACATCCATTATTGCTACAGTACCTACAGTACTTTAACAGGATGGTAATGTTCCGGGCGGTAAAATTACAAATCATTGTGTCCTTAATTATTATGCATTCGATAAACAATGGTATCATTTCACATCAAAAAGAGAGGGTTAGCTTTGCATTAAGCCTCTCTTTTTGATATTTTTGCTTTTCGAGTCATACAAACGAGGTGATTAGATTTGATTTGGTGCAGAGAGGACATGCAAGGCTGCTTCCATTGAATTCTGTGATAAACAGAACAGCCTGTGTTAGACCTGTTTTTTGAGATTCATCCAGGACTGGGCACGTGTCAACGGCTGCAAAGGAAAAGATTTATTTTATTAAGGCTACATAAAGGATCAAATATTAAAAATGGCAATACTGTGTGAACCTCACTTGCTTAAATGTGCACTTATTTAAATTTAAAACAATTCAGTTTGAAACATTCAATGAGGAATCTTGACATGATCGGAATCTACTAACGGATTATAAAACTAGTTTTCTGTAAGATATTTGGATATAAATATGTAATAATGTAAATGTTACCTTTTTGAATTACTTTGGCTCTAAATGACTCAAACACTAAACTTTAAATGTTTTCTAGAAGTGTCTGTGTTTTCATTTTTCTCAGTGAAATGATCATGTCTGCTGTGAACTGGAATTAAGAATCTAGAAGCTGAGTTCTTCCAGGAGAGGGCACTGTTTAATAACTGGTGCTTTTATTCTGGAAGTAAGGCGCCATCTAATTTTTCTAAAAGCGATCTTGAATCATGCACATATAAACAGACAGAACACATGGTCTGAATCACCCACCCTGTCAGACATAGTGTCCCAATCTCGTGAGGCCAAACACTCCAGGGACCCTTTGTAATGGTTGGCCCCAATCCGGGTGCTCTCCCATCGGGACATCCTGGGGCCATTCTCCCCGATTGATCCTCCGCCGCTTCCTGGACCATCTACATCTCTGCCACTGAACCCGTTGGTCTTCAGATCGTTGTTGAGGTACAGCTGATATTTCGGGTTCTGGCTGATTATCGTTGCTTTGGGCATGGAGGGTCCCTCCTCTGATGGGCTGTCCAGCTGCTTGTGTGAATCCAGTTCTGACTCCTGGAGGGACAGAAGGTGAAAAATGAGGAATGAAAAACCTGGATGAATCAGTCGGAGGGGGCGAAATCAGTCAGCATATAAACACGAATGCACCCAGTTAGAAAACATAAAAAACTGATGGATGAAGGATGAATTAACAGAGCATGTGATGATGTTGTCACCAATTGACAGCAGAGAGAAAATAAATATATGGCACAGGAAGGTAAAATGACAGAAGAGATGGCAAAATGTATCATTTTGAAAGACACTATGGCAAACTGATTTGACTTCTGGGAAAAATGTGCATAAATAGAAACAAACTTGGCTCACTGTATTAATTTTATGCAAGTAACACCAAGATACTATCTTTTCTGCTATTTCATCCCGGTTCTAACTGACATTTCTTTAAAGGGAGACTTGTGGTTTTCTGAGCACTAGAGGGCAAAAAGAACACAGTGCTGATATATTATTATAATGTTCCCAAACAGCTTTAGGTTTTGAATCTTTTTTTAAACTCTGCTTTGCCTCCACCAACTAAAGAAAGACTTCACTATGCTCAGCAGCTCATTGTGTGTTCCCTCTGTCTGCTGTTTGGTATCAAAGATGGAGTTTACTGTACTTAACAACATACAGCCTGAAACACAATTCTATCAAATAAATTGTTAATTACTACGTTATTATACGTTGAAATTACTATAAAGAACATACTTGTTCTTTGATTTCTATGGTCGGCGTTGGCTTAAACACTGGCCCAGGGGTTCATTTAGATTTACTGCTATTTACCTGAAAGCTTTCCCATTTCCAAATACACATGATCAAAAGCACCTAGCTAAAAGGTAAATTTGGGCAAAAGTGAAAATATGAATACAAGAGAAGTGCAAGCAAACTGAATGTAAACATTTAATGGGTTTTAATAGGTTTTCATGCACAAAAAAGGAAGACAATTGAAGACAAGGTTTGTTAGATCCGTCAGTGAGTTTTAGGCCATTTTGATTAGTATGCTTAAAACGTTGCTGTTTTCATGCGTTTAAGTTCGTCATGCAGTTTGAGGATGCAGATTTTTTCATGCAAGAAATGCGTTTAAGTAAACCTGCAATGCCATGCAGTCATGCCATCTTCACGCAGTGTAGCTGCAGAGCTTTTTGTTCATGCAAGGACATCGGTCTCTTACCGATCCCATTCCAGAGTCAGCCACTGAGTCTCTACCAGTGTTTGTTTGGCTTCTGGACTCAGCACCGTCCCCTGGTGGAAAATTGATTCTTGATGTTATCTGAGTAGTTCTGGAACCTTTCTGAACTGGTCCAACTCCATTCTGAATGGTTTCCTTGAAGGGTGGAGTCACATTGATACTGGGAATAGAACTTCCATCTTGACTGGCACTGATTGGTGTGGATGGACTTGACTTTGAAGATTCCAGAGCCTCCATCGAAGCCGACTTTTGGACTCGTTCAGCTCCCATAATAGGGCTCTGTGGAGAACCGGAAGGTGAGACCTGGTGATCCGGACCTGAGAACCTAGTAATCAGGTCTTTGATGCTGCCCGCTCGTTGCACTGAATTGCGAGTCAGGCCTACTGGTCTCTTATAACTGGCTCTCCTGGATTGCTGTGACTCTTCTTTGGTGGTAGTCTGCTGAGGACTAAGTGGTGATTGTACGGAAGATGACTCGGGTGTGTGCTGAAAGAGGTGAACACAATAACAGATCCCTAAAAAAACTGTTTCAGAAGTGTCTGAACACCCAGTTGATGGTGGCTTAAATGACTGGCAATATAAATTTAACACAGGTTAGACCATGTAAACCATCACTATTTCAAGCGAGGGGTGTGGCTCTGACTGAGAACAAGAACAAGAACAACTTGTTGCTTGACATCGATAAGGATAAATATAACCTGCTTGGATGATGTTTACTCAATTTATGGGTCCACATTTTACAAAATGAAAATTATGTTGTGTTAAATGGGGCTTGAAGCTACTGACTGTAACTATGAACTCAGTAGGAAAGTGTTTACCAAGGTCATATGTCAGGGGAACAGTAGACTCATTTTGTCATAGACTTGTATATAATCAGATTTATTCCCTTTTGCCCCCTGCCGGTCACTGGAAAGAATGCAGGTTTAAAGCATCATTTTTGAGACTTTAATGCTATGTTCATATAAGCAGCTGTAACAAAGTGTCTAGAAAGTTACAAGAAGTAGGAGAAAAACCCTCCAAAGAATGGTTAGCATCAAATACATACCATCACTTTAAGTTTATTTTTAAAGCATTATTTTAATAATGTGTTTTTCTCTCTCTGGCCCATGTCTTTACAGTGCATCGATGTTGTTGACTGATGAAATGCATACATAATGACATGAATCCCAGCATGTGTGAACGTATGTTTGTGTGTCATTGTGTGTGTGTGTGTGTGTGTGGGAAAGTGTGTTCCTATCCTGACATAAATCCCACTTGAGAAACTGAAACATCTGCTCGCTCATCTGAACAACAACAACAAAAAAAACCCCTACCCTACACCCCCACCTCATATCACAACATCTGACTTTCTCACACAGAAATGTAACGGTAGATAGGAAAATAAACAAAGGGACAGCAACAGGGACTTAAATTCAAAAATCTGCTCAGCTCTTGCTTTTAAAAAAACAGGAGAAGAAGAACAGAAAATGTCAGGATTTTTCCTTTTATGCCAAAAAGCCACTTGAATAAATCCAACTTTAATTAACAATCATAACAAGAAGGATGGTGCCACTTAGAGAAATGAAGTGGCAAGCATCCAGGGGTTTAACTTTCAAGGTTCAAGGGTCCAAAGCACCGAGTGGCCTTAATCCAGGGACTCGCCTGCCCGCCTCCCCCGAGGACTGTGAGCGGAAGCTGGGGTGGGAGAGAAGCCCTGGCCTGAGAAGGAGGGAGGGTGGATGGGTGTCTGTCTAGGGTTTAGGATCACTGCTAATCACTGTGGTATTAAAATGTTTACAGGCCGTGGAGGGATTAGCTCTGAGCTGATGATTTTTAATGTTATTATTTTTGCCCTGTGAGGTGAGCGTGCTCAGTGTGGACTTGCGGTGTGAGAAGACAGTGAATGCAGTGAATGTGAGAACGTGTATGCATTGCTGTGCTCGTGTCTTTATGTCCTGTACATAACATTACTATGGTGATGGCAATAATCCAGAGCTTGACAACTTTTTATGAGCCCAATTGAGGGCATCACAAGACACGTCTGTTCAATAAATACATTTGAATTACATTTTTAGATATACTCATAATTTACTTTCATGCTGCATATTAATTTTAAATGTTTAAAACTGTTGGGGTCATTTTGCTAAGAATATATAGTGAGTTAAGAAAGTATTTGAATAGAATTTCAGCATAAAATATAAAACACAACAGAAGAAATCCCAAACATGTGCGTGAACTGCAACTTAAAGTAGACCTTGTAATGCAAGTTCCAGTTTCACAGCTTTGGTTCACAGTTCATAATATTCTTTATCTCATACTGAGCTTTGATCAAGACCCTCAGTTCATCTGCTGTCCGAAACAAGCTGTTTTATTTGCAGTAGAAAAAAAAGCTATTATATTTATTGCACATTGTGCGGAATACGTCTGTATATTTTTGGCAGATACTGAACAAATTTTAGGCATCAAAGGTTGTTTCCCAGGGGCATCAACCCATACGAGTGCTTAATGAGCTGGTCCCTCACAAAGGCACAATGCAGTGCTTTTACTTTAGATTACCCAACCAAATCTATTTGGTTCATTTCAATATGGAAAACCATGAAGCTGCACACACGTCCAGCTGTCCCTGGCGCACTCTTTACCAGTGGCCAGGTTTTCAGTCAGTTGTAACAATGGGAAAAAAAAAATAAATTATTGCAGCTGAACCTGAGGTTTATTTGAGTCATAAATTTTTGTGATAAGCTGGCACCTACATGTAAAACCTACAGTATGTAAAATCAACACGGGAACTGGAAGCTGAATTGTGCTCATGTTAGAAGACAGAGGAAAAACAAAGACAGGCAGACAGAGCTTCATTCAGGAAAACCACAAATTCCCTAAAGTCCCGGACACACACACACACACGGGTCTTCCATTCCCTGTGGCCTCACTACAGTACAGACATATGGCGCAGAGCTGTGCACTATCTGACCCAGATATAAGGCAGCAATGCACTCTGGGAAATACAGTGAATACCTTGCCGATGAGGCTTGATGTAGCAGAAGTGATCGGCGCTTTTCTCCAGAATTCAAAGTTCAGCGGACACAGGAGCTTTTCTGCTCAAGTGTATCATCAAAAAGCAGGTGCTGTGCTTTTGTGACAACGAGAGACCCTGATTACAGTAGGAGGGCTTTTGTAGTTTATTTTCAGTAAGTGGATGACTTTGAATGGATAAACAGTTTCATTTATGTAGCACCAAATCACAATAGTAGTGCCATTAAGGTGCTTTACATTGTAAGGTAAAGACTGTACAATAATATAGAGAAAACCCCAGCAATCAAACAGACCCTATGAGCGAGCACTTGGCGAGAGTGGGAAGGAAAAATCCCTTTTAACAGGAAGAAACCTCTTGTAAAACCAGGCTCAGGGAGGAGCAGCCATCTGTCGATGGCTTATAATAAATGGGTTCAGGCTATAACAGGAATGGGTTCAAGTCCTCAAACCTACACTGATCAGCCACAACATTAAAACCACTGATCATCTCAATTCAGTGATTTTTTGTTTTGTTTTGTTTTGGGGTTTTTTCTTTTTTTTTTGGGGGGGGGGGTCCTAATATTGATCCGGATGTTTCTTTGGGATGTATCACCCAGACACTGCTGCAGACTAATAACTTCTTCTCCAGCAGGGCAATTCTCACACTGCAGGAAACACATGTGAACAGCTCTACAAAGAGCCCAAGGTGACGACCTGGGCTCCAAACTCATCAGATCCCGCTCCACTCATGGAGGGTACAATACAATCCACAGAGATCCTAAGCATCCACTGGACTATTAGACACCACAGGGCACCTAAACGAGTCCTGTGTCTCTGCTCTGAAAGCATCACTTCTAGTTTGAAACATGCACTTTCAGTTAAATTTATTTTGGAAGCGAAGCTGAAACTACATGAGAAATTTCTCTGGGATCAATGTCTTAGACTGGAAACACAAAGGCAGGACATTATATAACAAGTGCTCCTCTGGCCTATTACATAATCTACTGTCTAAACTTGTGGGGTGGAATCCTTTAACTTTTTCCAAGGTGTTATAAGAAGAACAATCTAATCTGGGGCTGGAAATGTTTGTGAGAGTCTACATGGATTTGTGTGATAGACAGGCCTGTTTGCTCAGAGATCACACAGAGATTCAGCTTGTGGCCATCTGCACGCCAGACAATAGAACATACAACAACTATTCAAGTTAGAAACAATAAATTTGATCAACTGTAAGGACCAAACCTGCTTCATCCTTTAAGCCTAGAGCATTTCAAACACTTCATTATTTCTGCCGGCGCCTGACAGCTTCGAGGACGAGGACGGAGATGAAGATCAACAGTGACATCGAAAACTGGGGCAAAACAAGTGGTTTGGATGAAAAGAGAGAACACTTTAAAGCTTCTCTTCTACTTTGTGTTTGTGGTGCTTTTCTACCTTCTTCCATTTTCTTTACTGGATTCTTTTGCCCTTTTTAAGTTGTGTTTTTACCCTTTTTTGTTTG